CGCGGCGCGCCTTTCCTCCTGCCACAAACACAGTGCACAGCCAAGGAAGATGGCAGGAAAGCATTTACAGCCGGGAGGGCTCCTCACACCATAAATGCTAACTTTTTGCTCTGAAATGCTCTCCTCCCGCCTTTCCGGCTGCAGAAGCATTTGCTGGGGAACAGCAGGCTGGGAGAAGTCAGCGTCTCAGCATGGATCAAAGTAGATAATTCAGTCTGCACACTAACCTGGGAACGGCTCATAGCCACGGGCATCTCTAAGCATTTACAGCCGGGAGGGCTCCTCACACCATAAATGCTAACTTTTTGCTCTGAAATGCTCTCCTCCCGCCTTTCCGGCTGCAGAAGCATTTGCTGGGGAACAGCAGGCTGGGAGAAGTCAGCGTCTCAGCATGGATCAAAGTAGATAATTCAGTCTGCACACTAACCTGGGAACGGCTCATAGCCACGGGCATCTCTGCTTACCTTCACTGGTCACTCCTTCTTCCAGTTCGTCTCCTTTCTGCAATTGGAACAAAAAGGCGTGTGAGCATGCAGGCAGCACTTCACCTTCACTATTATCCTCTACACACATTTAATGCAACTGGGCAGTTTCCACCACTCGTTTCCACATGCTAACTGTTTGAGCAGGGCGACCTGGGGAACTGTTTGAGCAGGGCAACCTGGGGAAATCGCACGGCTCCCACGTCAGGAGGCCAGTGGTGACTGACATTTCACTGCGCTGCAGAGCAAGAGGACGAGCACTAGAGATGCTTCTGAAGATTGCTGGTGGACAGCTAAACTTTCCCCGTTGGACCTGAACAGCAGTCCAGCACTGTTTCCACTTCAGACAGTAGGCCTGGTCAAAAACTGAGCCGTGTGAGTCTCACAAACACTGTACAAGATGCCGTCTTTTGTCACACAGTCCTTTAAAAACTGAGGACTGCGTTTTGCATTGTGTCTTCAAATAAAATGCAGTTTTAGCTGACAAAGGACGCATGCCGCTAAATAGTCTGGGGCCAACGTTCCTCCTGTGGGAGTTCATTTTAGATTTCATACAAAAATATAGCAGCTTTCCTGGTGTCCATGCCGTACAAAGACAAGACTAGCGTGGGCTGGATGAAGGATACTGATGGGCAGGTCGCATCTGTCCATGAGACACAAAGGCTGGGATGCCACGGGCTCAGTGCGTTTCTACCAGCTGTGTGCGTTTCAACGTGCGAATTTCCAACAGTTCTTTAATAAGGAAATTAAATTAAGTCCAAGGCTGTGGCATCCTTGTCAATCTATCAGGATATTAAAAATGGACAAAAACACTACTTGAAAACCTCATGTTGAACCTGCTTTGAAAAAGGAAAGTATCTGTCCATGCCCTGGCTTCTCTACCAGGAGACGGGGAACATACTGATTGGCCTCACAACGGTGTTTAATGCCGGAGAATTAAATGCCACCTAGCATCTACTAGCTTTCTACTGCACAGAGGTTTCCAAAGGTACACACAGCAGCCACTGCTTCACGTGCAGAGGTATTGCTTGTTCTAGTGTACCCCAAAAAGGGTAAGGACATAAATAACGATTAGCTAGCCTAATCCGTAACTTCCTCAGCTGGGAAGCAGAGAACTGAAAGGAACCGTTAACAAAAAAAGGAGTGGGGGGAACCCAGAGTAAAAACCAAAACTCGAGTCCAAACTTTCTCAGAGAGCATCTCTATGGTGCACCCACAGACAGCCGGGATGGGGACCCAGGTACCTGGGAGAAGGGAAGCCGGTACAGTCACGGCCACAGCGCGTGTGTCCCCCAGGCTTGTTCAGGCACTTACGGGGCACTTCTCTGCTTTGCTCTTTTTGAGTAAGGCTATCTAAGGGATGACAGATGTACAGAGCTACCTCGATATCTCTCCATAAGATCTTCTCTCCTGCTAAATTAATTTAAATGGCAAAGACAAAAGCTTATTGTTTAAGCAGAGTGGACATGCCACATTTACTGTATTTCTTTAACAAAACGAGGCCAGTTTGTAATTAAATTTGAAAATGACTGCCTGTACCGAGGCCTGAAAAAACTACCTGCAGCTGAAAACCAGTGACATTTCAAAGACAGCCAGTCAGTCTGCCAAACTCGAACACTGAAACCCAGAATCTGTTTAAGCACTTCAGGCGGCTTTGGAGAGCAAGAGCATTTTCTTCCTTTCAGTACAGTCAGCTCCTCTGGTGCCGGAGCGGAGGGCTGACGTGCCAGAGCATGCCTGCAGCACTGCTGCCAGAGCCGGGGAGCGAAGCCTGAACCCCGCAGCTCCCAGCTAGGAGCCGAGCGGGCAATAGCAAGGGGCTGGGGGAGACCTTAAGGAGTAGGCAGTTATCTAGGGGCAATATCTGAAGTTGGAAGAATGGAAGGAGACGACCCTTAGGGATATGGTGACCACAAGAAAACAGTTCAGTTCACTAAAACCATGTTTAAAAGAACAGTCTGAAACGCAACCCACCACCCGTCCCCAAAATGCACTTGGTTAATTTGAGTCAGATGCTTACATTAAAAAAAAAAAAGAGACCGGAATAAATGCGTACTAGCTGTACCACTGCTTAAACCAAATGTGTATTGGTACAGCAAAACAAACTCCAGAATGAAGGAAAAGCTACTTTTAGTTCTGTCTTCTGTTTGTTTGTTTAATAATTACCAGACAATAATCAGTTAGGAGAAACTGAAAGTTATAAACATTGAAGAGAGACTGTTGTAAATTTTTATTATTACTATTATGAAACATGTCAAGATTGCTTGCCATTTTAACAAAGACTTCTCGATTTGAAAGGAATCTAAGCCCTGATCCAGCATCTCTTAAAAGCATGCCTCAATGTAAGCATGTACTTAGATCCTGTCAAAGCAAATGCAGCCTTAAACACGTGCTTCAAGTCCAGTGGAGAGCACAGGTAAACTTCAGCACATGTTTAAATGCTTTCCTCTACAGGAACCAGAAACACACGATTTCTGGAACGCGTGCTATTCTGTGATGTTAACATGGAGAAGTGAAAATGAAACAACTTGGAAAAAAACCGTTTTGATTGAATTGCTGAACACAACCCTATCTCCTCCTGCTTAGGTAGTCCCCTCAAAGGGAAATAAGCCATACGATTTGGAAGTTTCACTGCCTCCCGTTACGAGAAGTACCAGTAACTCAGCAATGCATAGAATGTTATCCGTACAAGTGCTATTGCCCATGTGAAAAATGAAAATATAAAGAGTCTCACCAAGTCGGTACTGAGCCATTCCTCAATGTCATCCATGACAGAGGACTGTGCAACAGGGATCTAGGGAGTGCAGCGAGAGAACAGCAAGGCAGGCAAAAACCAAAACACATCCACAATCATGGCCACAGAGCGATGGAAAACGCCAGAAATAAGATTAAAAACAAAACAAAAACAAAGATGTAAGATGTGCTGGAAAAAAAAAAGGCAACAAAATATAAATGGCATTTCAAATAAAGAAACACTTGGAAAGGAAATTATGAACAACAAGGCTAAAAAAAAAAAACGAGAAAGATTATGGGGAATGACGTGACTTGATGCCAGCGTAAGACGGGTAACTTCTCGACCACATATTAAAACCATCAAGATGGACTGATGATTCTAATCTTGATCGTGAAAAGCTTTTAAGGGTAGAATACTGGATATCAGTTAGGTTTTGAAATGTTAAATTTACACCTTTTCTTTTTTAAAATGGGTATTGGCCACAGCGAAGGGTTAGCAAAAAGAGGGGCTCAAAGTCTTCAGGCAACACTCCTAAGAAAACAATTTGATTTTCTCTGCAGGTGGAGGCAGTCAGAGCCCAGGGTACACAGTCATGTTTCCTGCCAGATCCTCCTCCCACCACACCAGCGAGCCTTGGCGAGCCTCCGCACACCAGCTTAAAGCAAAACCGTCCCCACTCCTCTGCCAAAGGTGACCCTCTCGCAGCAGAGGCAGCAGAACCCAACATGTGCCAGTGCAAAGTGTGGAGTCTCAAAGGTGAAGATGAGGAGGAGGATGGGGCAGCAGCTCCCGGTGTGGGCAGAGGAGGAGAGCACCGCACGCACTCCTCTCGGCTCCGGCTCCAGCACTGGCAATGCCTTGCAGTGCTGCAGCAAGGAGCCTGCCCGTCAGGCCTCCACGGATGGTTTAACAAAAAAGGCAGGGAAGGTTTGCGTCTCCTCCTGCAATAAAACCGCTCACATTCTGCTGTGTGATTGCGACAGGCAGTGCAGACGCGGCACGCCGAGTGCTAAAGTGCAGCTATTTCACAAAGCGCTACGGGCAACTGGGTCAGCGAAGGGAAATTACTGCGTATTAGGTGTAGAATTTCCTGACTTAACTACACTGCTTAAATACAACAGAGGGCTGCAGAGGTAAACAGGAAAACACCACAATAGCTTTCATAAGGACAACCTGAAAAACACTTGGAAAGCAATGTCCGACACGCAGGTTCCAGGCCAGAGCACGGCAGCCGAGCAGCGGCGCTGGCAGGCGAGAGACCTCGCGGTGCAGGAGAGGCTCTCCTAGGAAGAAAGGTGTCAGGGGTTGTCCGCAGCTTTGCCCGAAACCTCTCACAGGAAGAAGAGCTGAAAGAGGCTTTGCAGATGAATTCTCTGGGAGATGTAGTTTTCTCAGGGACTTCTAGCGGAGGAAGACAGACAGACGCTGAATTAGAGGCAGCGGCACAGGCTGCCGCGGTTTAGCGCAGCTCCTCAAGGATTTTTTTTCTTCTAATCAAGTGGCCCTTTGCACCGAGGAGGTCAGTTAAACCCTTGCTTGAGGTGAGGTCTGCTAAGGTGGGTTAGTTGTGTCGAAGGACTGGAAATCCAGGGCTCAATCCAAAGCATCTCCCACCAAGAGAGGTGCCGGGAAGACGGCTTGGCTCCGACTCTGCAGGTTGCTGGACAAAGCGCACGTGACAGATCCAAGAAGGGTCAGAGGTGCAGGTCGTCATTTAGCTTTCAGCTAATACATGAAGATCCCAAACAGAAAATAAGTTCCCGCAGTCTCCTTTGGAATGGGCCAGATTTAGGATAATCGCCCCTTTTTAATTTGCAACGGAGAGCTGAATCACGCACGTACAACGCTAACGCAGCGTGCTGAAGCGGCTGCGAGCTGGCCCAGATGGCCATTAATGAGAGGAGGGCTCTGTAGACATCTCGCAACATGTTTCTTCCCAAGGACAAGTTGCATCTTGTAGAACTGGCTTGTTAGTTTAACAGCTTTGGAAAATACTGGCTTCAGAGATACAAAGCAATGAATTTATTCAGCCTACAGCAACCTAAAACCTCCTGCAGAAGTGTCGCTGCTGTCTCTCTCCTGTATTGCTTAACGCTGCACACAATAAGTAATGCTTTGGAAGGTGTAGCCTTCAGAGCTGTTGGCTAGTTTGCAGCTCAGAAAAGTACTAACGTTTCTTTAAGGATAAAATCTGTATGGAGGGGAGCAGGAAAGTAGCAGGCTTTTTTGCTTTTCTGTGAATAAAAATAAGAGCTGCTGTTCTAAAAAGCGTGGTGGTGCTGCTGTCCCTGTATTAGGAGGAACAGTGATTCAAATCTTGGTCATCCTGAAAACACAACAGGTGACTGAGCAAGTGATGGATTCCTGAGAATCGCAGGACTCTTGAGTTTGCAGGAGTCCTCGAAGAACAGCTCAGCAGTACAGGAGTCTGTGCTGCTGTGTTTTGTAAGATTTTTTTATTTTAAAAAAAAAGGAGGGGAAAAAAAAAAGAAAAAAAGGAATTCTACTTTCAGACAGACCTACTTTATATAACAAACAAACAAAAACCTCAGAAGTGCAAGAACACTTCTCACAGGTCATATATAAGAAGCAGAGAGAGCTGTAAGATAAACATTTGAGCATGTCAGCCGCTTGCTATTCAGCACTGACCTTTTAAAAAGCTTCCCCCATCTTCCAGCACACTTACAGAAGAGCCAAGGGTTTGTATCTATTGCTCCTTCCATGCTCAGACCTCCAATTTACTTTCCTCAGACTCTGAGCCTCATTTTTCCCATAAAACATGGGTTAAAAGTATCAGGTTTAATTTGTTCAAGAATAAAGGCGGGGGGGAAACTCTCAAGAGTAACTGGAAGTTTTAAAATATTTTAACTGTAACATTGTGCCATTTATATTTCATTTGAAACTGACCACACACAGAAGTTCATTTTTTGCCAGTCAGTTGTGTATTTGGCAAGTCTTCCCCTTCCAGAAGCACTAAACTGAAAAATGCGGAGGGGAGTTTTGTTAAAACTAATCCCCTAAAACACAACAGAAGCAATGTAAAAATAAATTAGCTAGTTTACACATTAAAAAAGACAACAGTTTCTGGGAACAAACAGCAGTGGCAGCCACAGACTACATGGAAATGGCTCCAGAATGGGATACTGTCTCGTTAATACTTTGATTATGCAAACATACACGGTCTAGTAAAGCTCTCAGTCTTGGCAAGACAGCTCCCTAGATAGTCAGTGTTGGCTGCAAGAGCTGTTTTTATAACGATACTGTGATTTCTTTTTTAAAAGTCTATACTCAAAGTATATGGAAATGAAGTCACAAAATATTTTGGGGTACTTTAAGTAACTGGCTTTAATTAAAAGTTGGGCCCATTGTTCAAATTCCTTTTTTATTTAGTCTTTGGAAAATCCTACAAATGGGATCATCTCAACAGTCCTGAAAGGGAAATGGAAAAGGAGGGCTGGGAGAACAAAAGCAAGCGTTCAATCCCACAAAACCCACAGGAACCTGGAATTCAAGTTCATACTTAGATAAGTTAGCTTGTGTTGGTGTTCTCACTAGCAATCAAAAGCCAAAGAGTATTGCCAATATATTTCCTCAGAAGTCATAAAAATCCAATATTCTACCCTTAAAAAGACAGTTTGAGGTTATTATTATCACATTTTATTTCTATTAAAAAATGATCCCACTGGAAAAGAAGCAGGTATGAAATGACAATTCAGGTCTCTAGGTGAGCTCATTAATGTTCTTAAAATGTTTAACAAGGTTCATGCTAATTGTTGCTAGACTACTGTCTTGTAGTAGCGTAGTTAATTGCACTTCTTTCTAGATGTTTAACAAAGCTGACACCGATACTTGGTTAGCTGCTAGTCATTTCCCGCCCGTTAGTTAGCGATAGTAAAGAAAGGTCTGTCATTCCTACGGCAGGAGAACTAGAACGCTCAGATGCATGCTAGCAGTCTACTCCAGCTTAACTGCTACAGTCTTACCATCTATTTAAAGCTGTTGTGATCTTGAAATAGCTGCCTGGCCCTCAGTATTAGAACACGTTTGACTTTACATGTAAGGATTGAATTAGCTGCTTGATTACTTGTAGCTGTGTTTACGCATTGCATAGATGGGGAAGGCAAGAGCTCAGGTATGTTCCCCCACACAGCCTGTTGTGCCCGTACAACAACCAGCCAATCTGGATCTGATAGGCATGTCCGGACAGCAAAAGCCATTGCTCACGTGGGGTATCACATTGTCCTTGTAGAGTGCTCCGTAAAATGCCATGGCTGGACAGGTAATGAAACCCACGTGGTCTTCAGAACAAGGGAAAACGCCTGCTTGCCTTCAAAAGGGAGAGGGGTCCCACCCCGCAGAAGAAATGAGATCTTCACACGTCTACTTCCCAGTTTGTCCAAATTGAAGCGCTTTAGTCTCCAAGAAGATGACGTATTTCAACAGTCTCATGTTAGCCAAGTCATTTCCACATCTTAGATCCTTATCTCTCTATTGAAGGCAAACATAGCGGCATCCCACTTTGTTACTAATTAACGACATCTCAGTGAAGGTTTCATTTAATCTTTACTCACGTATCTTTACTACAGAGAGGAATCTCCTCTCTAGCCAGGCACGCTGCTGGTGGATGCAATGCTCAAAGCTGTTCAGATCACTTTCTGTGAATTCTGGTTCCAGTTTCATTCTTCCCCTGCCACTGCCCCAAATAACGTCTGTCCTGATGTGGTGGCCTAAGCAACACCTACTTCTCACTTTTATAACAAATATCCGCTTGGCATATGAGCAGGGTGACAGATTATTCTAACAAATGAATATATTAATGCAAATCTCAATAGCTACCCAAACTCACGAGGCGGGCACTGGAATTACCTGCACTAAAACGTGGTGGCCTTATGCTAAAGTCTGTGCCTAAGAGCCGCTGATACAGACCCCTGTACGACACTTGCATGGCCTAACTTGTAAGAACCCAGACCTTACGCTGCAAACAGATCTGGTACTGGAACAGCTCAGCTAACATCCCTATGTCATGTTTAAACCAGGAGCATTTTCTGCAGATACCATTT